AAAGGGGGGGATTGGGGGTGTGTGGGGGGGGTTGGGTTACTGAGTGGCTGCTTGTTTTGGTGACACCCTTGTTTTGATGACACCAGCCATCCTATGCCGGCAGTAAAAGCCTTCGACAATACAGAGTTCTGCTTGTCCATTTCTGAATCAAGTCTGTTACAATTCAGTTCTAGTTCAGTCTTTGGAGATTTAGTGATGTATTGCCACAATAAAAGTACAAGATTATTAATTTCTACCAGCACAACAACAGTAGAAAATATACTCAAATCTTCAGTCATCTCAACCAATCAAATAATCCATGCTAGGGAATTAAACTGTACTTATCCTTAGAACCTCACTTCTTTTGGGGGCTGTCTAGTACTCTGATGTTCACCTATTGTTCTGAGAGATTTTTTCCTCTCTCTCTCTCAAAAAGTCTGTTCAGGAGAAATTCTTAATCTGTTGCTGTCTCGGTGGTAGTTAGGTAGGATGGTGCCCTTGTATACTTGTACTTAGAGAGGATTGCCTCAGTTAATTTTCCTCTAAACTTGAGAGCTTGAGAATAGTTTGGATTTTTCCAGTGATAATTAGTTTTTTTTATATTTATGAAGCAGTTTACTCTTTTCCTCTTTGTTAAGACTGTCATTTAATCATCATACAGTATTCTGATTGAATTATCAAACAGCAATCTTAACAAGGAAGAAAAGAGATAATATTTGTGAACTCTTTATAACTATTTGTAATCCTGCTATTCTTTGACTTATAGTGTAATCAGAACATAATCAAATTCTTTTTAAAAGAAAAAGATTCTGCTTAAACCAACAGCATCCAAAATGGTGCACTGTATCATGTCTTTTAAACACATTGAAGTAACATCCACTGTCTTTGTTGGTATTTGAAGCCCTTGGACCATCAACTTTGTTAGGGAAGGAAGTTGAGTTCCACTCAGTGAGAGAACAATCTGGCATAAGTCTGAGGGCCCTCCCCTAGAAACACACACACACGTCACTTGCCACCATTGGAGTTGATCTTTATGACACAGGTCTTGCACTAATCAAAACAGTTTTCTGCAGATATCACAAAAGGGCTGAAGTGGACTACAAAACCATTGCTAAAGAATGGCTTCTATTAATCCACAGTCAGGCAACACTATTGTTACTCTTCCCAAAAGTGGTTGTCCAATAAAAATCACCCCAAAAGCAAGGCATACAATATTCCAGGAGGTCACAGAGAACCCCAGTGTAACAGCAAAGGATCTTCAGGCCACTCTTGCATTGCCTGGTGGAGTTTTCACACTGAACAAGAGTGAAAGGATACCAAGGAAGAAACCACTGCTCTCCAGAAGGCATTGCCCATCTCAATTCTTTCAAAGACTACCTAGATGATCCAACAGACTATTGGAACAATGTTCTCTGGACAGATGAAACCTCCCAAATTGTATTTTTGGCATTAATCAGAAATGTTATGCTTGAAGAAAATAAAATGCAGTGAATTTCTGCTCGGTGTGTTCAATAAAGTTATGCCATAGTACATTGTTTCGTTAAATATTGATACTGATTGTTTAACCAGAATCTGTTTATGTATTAATAGGACCTAGATGAAACTCAGTTCAAAATGTAAGTCACTGCACTGCAAGATTAATATTCTAAATGGCTCACAAACCTTTTCTCACCACTGTAGGCATCTAAAATACAGTAACTTTTGAAATTTAATTGTGTGGCAATATTATAAAACAATGTATATAAAATATATAAAGGATGATCCTACAAAGTAAAGGAGATTAATGAACATTTGGGAAAGAACAGAATGGGAGATATCTTAGCCTTCATTTAAAACTCCTGAAATTGGTGATTGCAATCAATCAATACATCCATGAATTTCTGCCTGTGCAATAGGAGCCTTCTTCATTATATTTCCCCGTCATGAACAACCTAGATGTATTCTAGAGAATTCTGTAATCCTATGGGCCAGAGGTAGAATAAATTCTGCTGGCAGATGTGGTTCCATATCATCATGATCAATTGGATTCAGCACAATGCTCCACTTTCCTATCCAGTGTTTTCCTCCTAATAGTGTGTATGTGTATATAGCATTCTTTCCCCAATAATCCCAAGTCTTGTATGTGTTTATTGCCCTTCCCCCAAAGAGTTCTTTCAGCTGCAAAGAAGAGAGAATGTGGAAGGTGAACACATTTTCATACTATTCTTAATCCAGGTGGCTGTATGCTTTTAAGGGTCCTGTTGTCTTTCATAGACAAATGAATTCTTGGATAGAGAGGATATTACAATAAGGAAGATAGAGCTTCCTTGAATTTGAATAAATGTAATCTCTCTGACTTTCTCTACACTAACCAAATTGAAGAAAGAAAAATTAAGTAAGTATAGCAACATGGAATAGGATGTGGGTAGAAAATTAGGTTTGGAGAAAAAATGTTATTAAGTGCACATTCCATCCACATTTCATTTGAATTCTTTGCCTTTTCTATCTGTAGGAAAAGAGAAATCAAAACATCATTTTCATATGTTGTGCTACTCTAGCTTGGGGCTAGCTGAGTCACCTGCTACATCAGTATATACACATATTTGTATACAGTATATTCTGATCTGGAAACTGCTGGTCAGCTTGCTGGGTGTAGAATCCAGTCCTTTGCTATATTGCATGCAGCAAATGTGTGAGTGAAATAATCAAACTCCTGTAGTACTTGAAACTAATATATACACCACCCAGAATCACCTTGTGTGAGATGGGGGGTTATATAAATGTGACAAGCAAACAAACAGTTTGTAACAATGGACAACTCCATTCTTAGAACAGAAAGCCAGCGTGATGCTGAATTAGTACCAGAGAGACCTGGGTTCTAGTGCTCCCTTAGGCATGGAAGTCAGCTGGGTGATATTGGGCCAGCCACTGCCCCCAGCCCAAATCAGCATCAGGTTCTGCAACAAGCCAGCTGATAAAATGCAGACACACAATTGTATCATGCATTGATAGCTGTGCTGTAAGAACTAGGGAAGCACAGTGCAAAAGCAAACAGAAACTCCAGATATGCAGGACATACACCCAGGAAAACAACTTCCTCCTTGGAACCTTCTCATTCTACAAATTTGAATAGAAGGGGAAGCTGCCAGAGAGGGAGATAATTCTGCAGTGAATGAAGTTTTTTTGTGAAGTGAAGTGGCTTTTACTTTCTACTGTGATTTCCAGCCATTTTCCAGGCTCCTAAGCTGCCTTTCCCTTCCTAGTGCTTGAACCTACCTGAACCCACTAAATGGAGATCCCAGAGCCTGAAGTTGCTAACTTCCACTTGCAAATAGATATTCTGTCTGTTCCCCAGTACTGGCCTGAACAGAACATTGTTCTATCTTCAGTTTTTGTGGGGACTGACAGGCTTGTTTATATGACTGTCGATCAGTTACTATACATTAATGATACATATGTTCTTTTTGATTTTTATATGACTGTCAATCAGTTACTATGCATTAATGATACATATGTTCTTCTTGATTGTATCCTCAGTATTTGAAATCTGTTAATATCAACAATTATGGGCGTAGGGTTTATCTAAAAAAATTAAACACTAGAAGGAAAAAACTATACTGGATTTGTAGCAATTGATTTTTATTAACATTTGAGTTACTCCTTGTTTGACAAAAGGGCATAAAAGGCATTGACCAATATAGTCAACACATTTGGAGTTGTTTTGTTTAGAACATAATTTCCAGGCCTTTCTCTCTCCTTTTTTTATTGCTATGCTTATTAATTTTGTGGTTATGTTGATTCTTTAATGTTGTTATATTTATAGATTTTTATTAGTTTTCATAATATTTAAAAAGTAAGGGGTTTGGGATACAGATATAATAAGCTTACTCAAGAGGTTATCATCATGGGAAACAAAACATAATTTTTTGAATATGTGTAAGTTTCTCAACAATTTCCTTACTCCAGGGGTCATACAGTAAAGGCTGTGTGTGAATCGTTCCACTTAGCCAAAGATGCTGGGTTCAAAGTGGTAGCACATATGATGCCAGATCTCCCCAACGTGGGACTTGAGAGAGACATCAACCAGTTTGTGGTAAGAGTGGCTCTTTTTTACTTCTCTTTGATTATTACTCCCTTGGACTCAGGCTTCTCTTGCTTGCCTGGGGAAGGAGTAGGAATAAAGCAACCAATGAAAGTTTTATCTTTCCTTTGGGTATCCTTTAGTCACCAAGCCTTTCCATCAGATGCTTGACTGTTCGGCAGAAAAAACATTCCTAGTTCTGTCTTAAAGTAAATGTTCAGCAAAGCACTGATGATTATATGGACAAAGAGTCATTACAAAGCTTGTGAACTGGTTGAGTAAGCTATGCAGAAGTCAGTGTTCAGCAAGATCATAGTTGAATCAGTGTTCACTTTAGTAAAAGGGGGAGAGAAAAAAGAGCATAGGGTGGAGACATGGTAGTATTTGTATATTAAGAGTATTTCCCATAATATTATTATATTATTTCCCATAATACTAATAAAACTGTTCAGGGCCATAGGTTTAAGAGAAGCTAAAGTAATCTTTCCCAAATACTTACACTGCAGTTGGACAAATTAATAAATTATTTACTACTAATACGTTAGCAGCACTGGCTGCTATGTCCAGTGGCAGTTTAAAAAGCTTGATACTATGTTAGTTCAAACATTTTGGTAAGCCATTGGTTGCTTATCCAATCTTTGTGGCCTAAGCAATAATTGGCAGGGTTCAAACAACATACTATACCATTAACCATCAAACACACTATGCCATT